GGGCCTGGTGGTGTCTGATCAGTGGGCCTGGTGGTGTCAAACCTGTGAACCTGTTGGTGTTGGACCAGTGGGCCTGGTGGTGTCTGATCAGTGGGCCTGGTGGGGTCTGACCTGTGGGCCTGGTGGTGTCTGATCAGTGGGCCTGTTGGTATCTGATCAGTGGGCCTGGTGGTGTCTGATCAGTGGGCCTGTTGGTATCTGATCAGTGGGCCTGGTGGTATCTGATCAGTGGGCCTGGTGGTGTCTGATCAGTGGATCTGGAAGGGTCTTACCTGTGTCTGAAGAGTGGAGTTCAAGCAGACCACTGGGCCTGCTTGTGTTCACTCAGTGGGCCTGGATATGTCCAACCAGTGGGCCAGTGTGTCAGACCTGGAGGTGCTGTGATCTGTGTAACCTGTGTAGATCTGTGGGCACTGAGCAATCTTGCCTGCAGGGCACCACTCCCTAGTTGCATCTGGCAGTGCTGTGCCCATGATGCCTGTGCCTGCACACTGGGGCAGCTGTGGCAGGTTTGAGTGAGAAAGAGGCAGCAGGAGTGAGGAGGGGCCCTCTATTTCAGTTCCCTCTCAGAAGCGCAGCTGTGTGCCTGCTGGCTGTCTGCCCAGTCCTCTGAGGGCAGTATGTCTCCTCCCCTCCTCTCTCCTCCCACTCGATCTGTCCAGACCTCTGAAGTCTGAAGTTGAGCCCATATCTGACTGTCTGGACCAGGAGTGTTTGTGTTTAGAGCCTCTCTCATCATTCTGAGGCTGTTATGTGTTTCAATACTGAGAATTAGAAATAAAGACTAGTTCACTCCCCTCTCATTAGATGAGAAGAATGTGAAAAGGTCACAAATGAGAAGAGGCCGTTTGGTCCCTCTGGTCCATTTGGTAGTAAGTAGTTTTAATTGTAAGTCATTCAGCCATTTCGTGTTCTTGTTGCACACTCCCAGAACCCTTTGTGCCTTCTGTTACACATCTATGTAGTTTCCACTTGTGCTCTCTCACTGCCTTGTGTGCTCTGAGGCTCTCTGGGCTCTGTAATGAATTTTTCGGGGTGTGTCTGTCACTGTCCGTGTCTCTCAGTGTGTTGGAACACTCTGCATTGAACCTGATCAGAGGACGCTTCCCTGGAATATGAGTATTCATTTAAAACACCACCCTGCTGAAGTCAATTTCTCTTCTCTTATCTGTTGATGACACGAAAAGCACTTTTCCTCCCTCTCTCTCTCTCCTCCCCCCACTGCTCTCTCTCTCTCTCCCTTGCTCTCTCGTTCTCTTGCGCCCTCACTCCCTCGCTCTTGGTGCACAAAAGCAGATTTCTGCACTTGACAGAAACAGACCCTTGTCTTCTGCGGCGTCACCCCGGCCCGTCTCCTGCTCGTTCTCCGACTCGCGGCCCGCGGGGGTGAGTGCTCGCTTCGTTCTCTTCTGTCGGGGGTAATTTCGGTGGGGACTGGGGGGCTGACTCTGCAGTCGGGGTGCTGTTTGTCACCCGGAGTGGGTATGAGCTGCCGGGGTCTCTTCATCTCAGTATCTCTCCATCTGTCTGGCGCAGAGCTTTCTTTTTGCTCTCCTTGCCCTGTCACCATCTTTAATCTCTCAATCGCTCTTCTTCTGCTCCTCCCTTCCTCTATCTCTTCCCCCTCTTCCCTCCCTATCTGATCCTCCCTGCTCTTTCCTGTCCGTGCCCATAAACTCCTCCCTGCCCCTTGCAATCTGCACTGTCCCTCCTGCTCCTCCCAGTCTGACTGTCTCTCCTGCTCTTCCCAGTCTGACTGTCCCTCCTGCTCCTCCCAGTCTGTCCCTCCTGCTCCTCAAAGTGTGCAGTCTCTCCTGCTCCTCCCAGTCTGCCCCTCCTGCTCTTCCCAGTCTGCACTGTCCCTCCTGCTCCTACTTGTCTGACTGTCCCTCTTAATCCTCCCAGTCTGACTGTCCCTCCTGCTCCTCCCAGTCTGACTGTCCCTCCTGCTCCTCCCAGTCTGTCTCTCCCACTCTTCCCAGTCTTTCCCTCCTGCCCCTCCCTACTGTTTCCTGTGTGTCAGTGATCTCTAGTCAGTGCATAGGTGATCACAAGGTGATTAGCTATCACTACTTATTGAATCAGTGATCGCTTGCCTGTGTATCAAGGATGTTAATAAATTAGTTAATAAATCAGTGATCACTGTGTATCAGTGATCACTAGTCGTTGTATCAGGGGTTGCTGCACAGTGAATTAGTGGTCACTAGTCAATATACCAGTGATCACTAGTTACTGTATAAGTGATCACTAGTCAGTGTATCAGTGATTACTACTCAATGTGTTTCGAAAATTACTAGTCAGTGTATCAGCACTCATTATTCAGTGAATTAGTAATCACTAGCCAGTGAAACAATCATCACTATACAGTGAATGGGGTAATAATAATAATAATTAATAATTGCTTACACTTATACTTACACTTTTCTGGACTCTACTCAAAGTCCCCTCCACCACCACCACCAGTGTGTAGCTCCACATGGATGATGCGACAGTAGACATAATGCACCAGAACACTCACTACACATCAGCTCTCAGTGGGGAGGGGAACAGAGTAATGTAGCCAGTTCAGAGATGGGGATTATGAGGAAGCCATCATTGGAAAGGCCAATTTGAAATGTTGCCAGGACACTGGGGTTATACCCCTACTCTTTTTGAGAAACACCCTGGGATTTTTAATGACCACAGAGAGTCAGCACATTGGTCATCCTTCATGACCAATGATGGCACCTTTTTACAGTATAGTGTCCCCATCAGTTCATGGAGCATCGGGACCCACACAGACCACAGGGTGAGACCCCCTACTGGTCCCATTAACACCTCTTCTAGCAGCAACCTTAGTTTTTCCCAGGTGGTCTCCCATCCAGGCTCACACCTGCTGAGCTTCAGTGGGCTGCCAGTTGTGAGCTACAGGGTGATACAGCTGCTGGCTATAATCACTAATCTGCATGTCAGAATGTACATCAGCAGTTACTAGTCAGTGTATCACTTTGTATCAGTGATCACTATGATCACTAGACAGTGTATCAGTGATTGCTATTCCGTGTGGATCAGATATTATCGGTCAGTGTATCAGCAATCAATTCTCAGTGCTACAGGGATTTCTATTTTGTGAATATGTTAGAGTACCAAAAATGACTAGTCAGTGTTTATCAGAGATAAGTCAGTGCATAAGTGAACACTAGTCAGTTTATTAATACTAATTAGGCAGCGAATCTGCAATCACTAGTCAGTGTATAAGCGATCTTTATTGAGTGTGATTTCTTCGTAAGCCCACATGAGTACTAGATTCTCTGTAATCTTTCCAACATGAAGAGGAAATCTATTCTTCTATCAAAAAGAGGAAATTCAGCATTTTTGATAGAAGTTAATTAATCTGAGGATCTCGTTAAGCCATCACTTGAAAGAATCCAGGGCATCAGCTCGTTCAGCAACAAGACTGCAGAGCTCTGTGTAAAGAGATGTCTCCGGTCTTGATCAGAGGGTCGCACCCAACCATTACTTAAAAGATACCGGCTTCAACAAAATTGTTGGGTATCTTGTTCCATACTCCAACCACCCCTTGTGTAAAGATGTGCATCCCATTCTGAAATGCACTTCCACCCTGGTTCCTCAGGCATCCTTTGCCTCGTGTTTTACAAGGCTCATCTTTATTAAAATGTGGTGCCCACGGCTGTACAGGATATGCCGAACGAGGCCTTACTTGTGCATTCAACAACTGTAAAACCCAGAGCAGCCAGAGCCAGCCTCGCGGTGACTCAGAACGAGACGTTTCTCTTCCGCTCCCCCTCAGCAGAGCAGCGGGTGCACCACCCCAGCGCAGAAAGAGAAGTGAGAGAGAGTGCGAAGCTCAGCATGATTTTTCCACTGCGCTGCGAGAGCGCACACTTCCTGTCCTGCTTCAGCTCTGCTGCAGAGGCGAGCGGCCCACTTCCTGTCTCCAGCCGGAGATACCGGTGGAGGGGTGGGGGGAGACACAGTCGTGGTGGATATGAAGGACAGCCAGTGTCGCATGAACTGTTACCGTATGCGCTCGTCTGTCTTTCACATCAGACTGGTCTCAATCAAGAAGATGTCATTCTGCCCATCAGGCCCATCTGCTTACTTAATTGATCCCAGGAACTCATCAGGGGATCAGGGGATCAGCTTCAAATACATGACCGGGCAGCTTGTTCCATACTCCCACGACCCTTTGTGTAAAGAAGCACCTCTTGTTCTCAGTTCAGTGTTGCCATTTCCTCCTTGCTGTCACACGCATGACTCACACAGATACATGCGCTTCAATTATGACTTTCGGATGATATTTCTAAATCTGACAAGACGATACATTTTCTTACATGTGCAACTGATCGCTAACAAAGATCTCCCTTCTTTAATGCACATTTTTGATGTCTGGTGAACTGAAATTGCTGTAGCTCAGGAAAAGCATGCATTGTCTTATTCAGACAATTTCTATTTAAAATTATTTCTGAAACTAGAGGCTTCACGCTTGTTCAGTAGCAAGTCTGAGTTTCACAAAATAAAAACATCTGAGCCATGTCTAAGGAGCAGGGTGATTCTAAACTGCAGGAAGCTACACATGATCTGGGATCTGGGTGATTGCGTAGATTCTTCTATGTCCTCGACAGAAAGCAAACAGAAATCTCAGGTATAGAGAAACAAGTCTGGAACTGAAAATACTTAAGCTCTGCAATGCACTAGTGAAACTTAAATTAGAGTATTGTGCAGCATTTTGGTCACCAAACCACAAAAAGGATGTTAGAGCCTTAGACAGAGTTCAGAGAAGATTTTATCAAAGTATATAAGACCATAAGGAGTACAGACAGGACCACAACTTCATACTCAGTAACAAAACGGAATTCTAGTCACTAAAAAGGGAATATATTTCCTTCTGGCTGATATTTTTTATTTGCTAATTTCTATAATATATATAATATAATATAATATATAGCATAATATTTATATAGGAAATCCAAATGGACAAAATAACAAATATTGAATAGAGTAAGACAAGCTGTTTCTGAAGATCTGAGGGTTTCTGAAACAAGTGTCGCTGTTTAGCAACTATCAAACCGCAAAATGAGCAAGATGGTCCGACTGATCGGACCTGACGTGACTGTCGACAGCCAATGTGAGATGAATCAAGCATGTGTGACAATCCTATGATGTCAGGCTGTTGTTTCACCAGATCAGTGAGGATTGGCCGAGAGTCGACGCCACTGTGGCACAGAGGACAAGACAGAGAGAACAACCGCCAATCCGCAGTCACTAGCTCAGCCAGACTAAGCACACCACAAGGGGGCAGTGTCGGCCAGCGCAGGGGTGAGGCACACCTGGAACCCTTGCACGCAGGTACGAATGTGCTCAGTGACAGCTCTCTGTCTGCAGGGTGTTCCAGTCGGCCTCAGCAGCCACCTGAAAACTGAAGTGTTTTGCTCACTTGGACAGAAGTGTCAAGACTTTCATTGTAAAGACGCACAGATAAATCTTACAAGTGGAGAGTGTTTTCCTTATTTATGATCTGAAACTTAATGTAGCCCAGCTGCTGCTGCTACTACATCCGCTGACGCAACTACAGCTTTGATTAACAGAACTACTTCTACAGCTCTGATAATCTTTTATGTTTCTACTACACTTAAAACTCCTATGGCAAATACAGTACTGTATCTGTATACTCTTCTAGAAATCAGTGTGTCGGTATTAAGCCCTCTCTCTCAGTGCAGTGTTAAAGTACTGGATTGTCCTGTCAGTGTGTTGTTAATCTCACCCTCCTCTGTGGTTTTCACTGCCTCGCTCTCACTGTTTTTGGTCCTGTTCTGTCTCCAAGTTAGACTCTACCTACCTCATTGAATTGAGTTAATCACTGTGTTAACTATTTTGAGCCACACCCAGACACACCCTCTTTCAAGACAGACTGATGGAAGACAGGTTGATGTGTAATGACTTGGCTGTAGCGTTATGTTAATGTACGGTTGTGTCCAGTGAGTTAGTGTTTACCATCTCCCTCACTCTGACAGGCCGGTCAGACAATCCTGGATCCCACCACCACCTGCGACACGTCTCGTCCAGCTTTCAAACCCGACTCCTGCACCAGCACCGAGGATCCGAGCCGGACGCCGAGATGAGTGACACTACGTCCGAGGAGAGATCCAGCACCACCACCGTCCTACTGCTCTTCGTCTTCTTGCTCCTCTTGGCCGTTCTGCTCGTCTTCTTCTACCGCCGGCTGAACCGAGCCACGGACGGGGCCTACGCCCTGAGCAAGCTCGGCCCGTGGCTGGGAGGCCAGGCGGAGAGGGCGAGCTCAGGCCTGCGGGCCCTGGAGGGCCGCGTGGGGCTCGGCCGGGGGGGGAGAGAGGGGGGCTTGGGGGACGAAGAGGCAGAAGAGGAGGGCGGCGAGGAGGAGGAGGAGGAGGAGGAGGAGGACCGAGAGAAGGACGTCGAAGCCTGCGCCTCCAGGCCGCGAGTGAAGTCGGACAGCGAGGACTCGGAGGATGACTACTCCAGTATGGAAGGCTGCAACCTCAGGGACAGGGCCAAGCTGGACGAGGAAGAGGAGGAGGAGCAAGAGAAGGAGAGGGAGGGGGAGCAGGCGGGGGAGAAGGGAGGGCTCCTGGTGGACCTGGGGCACTTTGCCGGCAGCGCCTCCTGGGCAGCAGACGAGTCACTTGTGCAGGGGAAGGAGGACATGACTGTGCTGTAAGAGGGGGGGGGGACAGTGGGATACATTTTGGGGGAGCAAGAGCGAGGACAGGGTGGGGAAAAAAATACAGGCACCCCACCCTCCTCAAACCAGGCTCTGCACTCGGGGTGTCCCCGCAAAGCCAACTGCAGCTGAAAGCACCGCCAGCGGACCACAGCGCTTTTTAAAAAAAAACATCCAATCCGACTTGTAAAAATACTTAAAACGGCAATGTACTTTTTTAGCAGTTTTTTTAATGTTGTGGAAAGTGCCTCTTCCGGTACAAATAAATCCTGTCTTTCATACACACGGCTTCAGTAAGTGACTGTGTGCGTCGTCTCTCCCAGCGAGGGCCAATTTCTCCGGGTGCTGCGACTTCTTCCCACATCCCACCCTTCGGAGCGTACTGAGAGCTAACACTCCGCTCACACTTTACTAGAGGCTTCCGGCAGGGCCGGATTTTGGGGTTCGGAGGCCCTAGGCACTTTCACTCTGAAATGTGCAAAAAGAGGGGTAAACGCAATTGAATTCCGTCGATCGACATGATGCAACTATTCGAATGCCAAACCACGTGATTGATGGAGCGAGTCGAGCGACCATCACTGCGATACTTCTAGTTTCTAGAACAGCCGCTAGAAAGCTGTGATTATTGATTTGGAGCACCTCGCAAGCATGTTGTTTCAGCTCGTTTTTCATTAGTCACTAGTGTTTCCCTCCTTCGCAGGCCCTAAAACTTTAGGAGGCCCCAGGCACTGTGGAAATCCGGAACTGACAACTGATTCCGATTCTTAAAAGAGCACCACTGGAAAATCTAAAGCCAGGTTCTTAAAAAGCAGAAGGGATTCAGTCTTTCCCCTTACTGTATTAGCAACATCTTTAATAATCGTGAACCGCAATGGATTATAGTGATTTTCGTTTTAAGGGAAGATCATCTACCAATTGAGTAATCGGAAATCTCAAAAAGAGGAAAAAAAACAGAAAAAAATGGAATTATCCATGAATTTATTTCAGAAACGAAGATCATTATCTCCAATTTGTTACAACATGATAATACAATTTAATTTCCCCCCTAAGGTTACAGCAGAAGATTACATTTTTAATGAAAAATTATAGAATAATAATAATTTTCCGCACCTTTAGTTTATACTAAAAGAAAAGAGTTTAATTTTCCCCAACCTAAAGTTATAGAAGAAAACTTAGTTATATTCTGTAACAGATGATTTGAGAATTAAGTTTTAACTAGCAGACCTACCTGCCCTGATGTCTGATTTCAGAAAGCGTCAGGCCCACCACCACCTGGGCAGGCAGTGATGGACTACCACCAAAATCACAGAGTGGCACCGCAGTCCGAATAACACTGCTCGAAATTAACAGTCAAACCCGAGCTGGCGAGCCAACAGTGGAAGATCTTCCATTTCAACCGGTAAGACACTGTCCCCAAGTCTCAAGGTAAAGGCCACAGAGTAAATAAAGATTAATATATCAACACGTTTATGTGTGTGCAAGCCCCCACAAACCCGACTGCAGCTTGTGGGGTCCCCACAAACCCGACTGCAGTTCAGGGTATGCCCCACCCTCCACAAACCCGGCTCAAGCTGAAACATTTCCCCACTAGAAGCAAACATCCGCTTGCGAATAAAACCTGAAAATAATGAGCGGAAACCAAATCCGTCTCCACCCGTGTCTGCCTCCCGATTCCGAGCCCTGCTGTCAGCTTGATCCCTGACCGAAGACCCAAAAGAAACAGCACTTGGCCACACAGCACCAAGCGTGTCAAACACTCCCAGCAGAGCAAACCCGATCGAAGAATCGCAACGAGGTTGGCGGCAGGAAATGTGAAACACTTCCAAAATGAGAATATTACGTAATTAATAGCGCGTATGAGCACCCTGATTAACACAGTATTGTGTGTGTCATTTTCGAGAGGAATCTGTAGGTTATGACTGCTGGTATTGACTCAAGTATGTTCAAGACTAGCCCCATAAACCCATCAATATCTGTAAACATAATTGAGTATAACACTGACCGCGGGATTCTGACCCCATACTTCCTATACACTCATCAACACCAGTGAACATGCTTGTGTATAACCACTGGATATGGGAATCTAAAGCACCATACTTCCCATATACTCAAGCATTCATCAATCATGGGATTGTCAGAAACATAACCTACATGGCTGGTGAGCATAACCTGTACTTAAATGTAAACAAGTGACACTTGTGCTATTTCACAGGACCACAGTTACTGGCCACCACCAGCACTGCATGTTTCACACTGGTCTGAGCACATGAGGTAGAAGATCAGACTTCACAAACTGGGGAACCGCAAGGTCTTCCAGGTCTCCCTAAAATCAGCCACCCGAAGCACAGTTGAGTCATTTAGGATGATGATCGGGGCAATATGGCCACTACACTATTTCACTTAACACGCCTCTGTCAGTAGCCAGAATGATTTCTGAACAACTGGGACAGTTCCAATGATTTCAGGGTGACCCACAAAACCTGCTGCACTGGGGGGTCACCAGCAGCTGGGGTGGTCGCCCTCTCACCATGTGGAAGGGATGTGTTGTCCTATAGCTGCCACGCATGATGGCCTATTTTAGCGGTGGCTTTTCAGGGCTCAGGGGAGAGTCTTACACTAACAGGCTGAAGGACTTGAATCGCTCTAGTCCTGAACAGATGAAGGCACCTGACACAAGTGTTCAAGATCTTCAAAGGCATCGAAAGTCACCCAAGCAAACTGCATCAGAAGCAGCTGTGAAATATGGACCAGAGGGCACAAGGAAGTGCATTTAGATCACAGAACAGACTTCTGCGCTTCTTTACACAGAGGGTAGTAGGAGTGTGGAACAAGCTATCCAGCCATTTTTGCACTGGCTTCTTTTAAGAAACAGCTGGACGAGACCCTGAGAACAATTCTCTACTAACTGCCAAGTGGGCTAGAGGGGTCAAACAGCCTTCGATTGTGACCTGTCTTAGTTCTGACAAACTGCAGAGGGGAGTAGCTGATATGTGGAATAGATCTGGAGGCACAGATAAGTTGTTATTTTCACTTTCTATGTCAACAGATATTAAGACATCAAACTTGTATTCAATGAGCATAAAGATTTTCTCTTCACAGGGGACCTCTGGATTTTTATTTATTTAGTGGGAGGAGGGAACAATCCTGTAATATTCCAAAACTAATGTAAGTTAGTATTGAGACTCTGGGACAGTTTCTTAGCGTTTGATGAATTTTGCAAATTTGGCAACATTTCCCATTAAATGCTCTTGAGACGAATCAAGCAAAGTATCGCATGAAAGTAGAACTACATGGTTTTAAAAATCATTCTTTGCGATCCGCCCGAGAGACATGATTAACTCCCCAGGCAGCTGCCTGTAACATTCAGATATGCAGGACACCCCAGCCAGCCAGCCATGCTCATCTTCCACTCCGCCCTCCCCTGGTCTTGTGACCGCCCTGCTTCTTGGTACGCCCTGGCGTCCTGATTGGCTGGGAGGCATTGATGTCACTGGGAGGGGGCGTGGTGTCCATTCTCTGCTCCGCTTCTCCCTCTGCTTCCCCACCCGGGTTGCGTCTGAAGGGCTCAGCCATGGAGAACTTGATCGGACTGAAGGAGGAGGAGTGAGACGCAATTGTTAATACAGCGGGGAACAAACAATTCTGCTTTGTACATGGTGAACATCACTGACCACTGGGTGGTATTTGTACAAATGCACTGAAAAAGATCCACATAAGAACAGAAACAGGTCTATCTAGCCCATTTTGTAGTTGGTAGCTTAATGATCTAAAAAAAACCCACATCTATGTGTTTCTTGAAAGAAGCCGGGGTATCAGCTTCAACCCAATGGCTGGGCAGCTTGCTCCACACCCCCAGAGCTTTTTGTGTAAAGGAGTGCCTCCTGTCCCGACTGCAGGATCTCATCCAGAGGTGTCAGCATTTACAAGACGGCTGGGAAGCTTCTTCCAGACTCCCACCACCCTTTGTGGGGCAGCTGTGTGTCACCAAGCATACGAACATAAGACAGGCAGAACAGCCTCCTCTTGCTTGTGACATATCAGGCCTACTTGCTAGTTAGATGAGATGCGAGGATCTCAGCCAGCTGTTTCTTGAAAGAAAACACAAAGCCTAGATCGATTATTTAGTAGGCCAGCAGTGTTCTGAGCCAAGGGTCTGAGGTTAAACTCCCTGTCAAGACAGTTTCGTTAGTTTTTGATACTGCTGCTCAGGAATCAGTCCAGACAAGATGCATTCTGGGGATGAAGGGAATGAACCACACTGACAGGCTGGAGGAACTGAGTCTCTTTAGTCAGAAGGGAGTGTCCCACACTGACAGGCTAAGGGAACCAAATCTCTTTTTGATCAGTGAAATGCAATCCAAAGGACACAAGTGGAAACTACTGTGAAGCTGATTTAAAACTAAGAACAAGAAATAATTCTATACACAAAGGGTTGTGGGAGGATGGAACAAGCTTCCCAGCCATGTTGGTGATGTACCGAGAAAGAAATTGGCAGGTTGGGGGGAGGGAGGGAGTCACATGGTACTTGTATTGTCACATTTGAAAGCAGACGCACCTGATGGGTGTCCTGGGGCTGCTGTTGAGTCTCCGTGGTGAACGGGTTTTGGGTTCAAAGGAGAATCCCTCCTTCAGGCTTTCTAACACTGAAGGAGCAACATAGGTGAAGCCCTATGAGAGAGAGAGAAAGAGAGACACATCAGTATTGCTACCACACTGTTATTATCACTGCTATTGCTGTCTTTTTCGTATTTATACTGTAAACATCCCTTCTTTGATCTCTTCTTTGCATCTGCATGCATTTACGAGTGCTCTCAGAACGTATGCAATGTAGATCACGCCAGTAAGGCAGTTTAAACAGAATGTATGAGTGTCTGCATACATACAGACTCACTGACTAGACTGGACACTGCATTCCAGCTGCTCATCTCCAGTGAGAAACAGCAGACGTAAACGGGTGCCCTCTAGTGTCTGTGAGTGGAGCTGCAGCGCACTTGCTTGAAAGCCAGTTAGATGTGTGTTCACTGTAGAACAGGGGCTGGCGACCTTTCAGGAGGGGCGTGACAAGAGTCCTCTATTGCCCTTGTGTTTATGGATTTGCACAACGCTGATACTTTTTTTAAATAATAGGCCGGCATACACTGAGTAATAGAAATGTAATATTAAAATATTATCTCGAATAATAATGGATTATTTAATAAGCTAATTGCCCTTGCTTTCCCTTACCGAGGTCTCCGATCTCAGGCTTGTAGCTTGACACTTTTAGCAGCACACAAGCCCCTGAGTGTTCAGGTGTGTAAACACCTGTTGCAAATGCTGAGAGCAGGGAAAATGCCGCTTTCTTCAAACATTCAAATTTCGCTGGCAGGGACTTATCCACGTCATCACTTCCGGTAGCCTCCAGCGTTTCACCGAAAATTCACCTCGACCGATATCGAAATTGCCCATTTTAACCAGAAAAGAAAACAATCGGGCCAAATCATTTCAAATCCCCAGATCTGACGGCAAAATGTTGATGCCAGTTCTCGTGCGTACCATCCCAACTCGGCAACGCGGATTGTGCAATGTTCTGAAAGTTCTCAAAGAGGTCGGAAATAGTGGAAAGTTGAGATCTCCATGTCCCAGGAAAAAAATGGCAAGTTTTGCAAGAAATACCTTCCACATTCAGAAATGACCCACAACAATTTGATCTGCACCCTGCAGACAGAGGCTGAGCTCATTCATACGTGTGGCGATGGTGACAAGAAACAGTAGTTCTGTAGGCCCCTTTTTGATCTTGTACTTAGAGCACAAAAGGGCAGATTCTTTACGTCGAACAGATCCATACTCATCTCTCCAAAAGGGCTGAAATGAGCGAACATTTAAGCAACTGTCATCTTGTCCAAAATGTTCAACTTTACATTTAAATGTGAAAAATGTTATCAGAGGCACAGATTGTGAGCTTTCCTGTGAAAATAGGCTACCCCTGGTAAGAATAATATGGTTAATAAGCTAAGTGAATCATTTTTTCTGCATCAAAGAGCTTTTATAGGAAGCATTGTTTTTATAATTTTTTAACTCAACTTTCTTTGTGAGATTTATTGCATGTGCTGCTTTCACTGCATTAAAAATCACATGGTTGCCAATAATAGCACGTGTTGTAGGTTGCAAACCCCTGCTGTAGACAGTGGTACACTGTCAATATCCACAACATTTTACTTGTCAGTATAGACAAAGTTTACCAGTATTCCGCGTCACCCAGGCCAAATCCTTAATACAATACAGGACAGTATCACCGAAAATTTGAAAGTCACAATACAATATAATACAGTATAATACAGAAGTGTGGAATAACAGTGCATCCTGGGAGCGTGTGGGCGGGGCCGGGAGGGAAGGTGTGGTCACTGATTGGTCTAGTTCAATGAAGGGGTGTGGCAGGGGGAGATTTAATCCTCAAGGGGAGTTTCAGAGGCTCACTTGCAAGCAGGCAACCAACCAGGAATAAAAAAGGTAACTTTGATTTAATTGGTAAAACTCAGTAACCCCCATGTCTCACCATGAATGCCTGCTCAGCACTCTCACTGAGGGTGGTGTCATCTGGGCTGTCCACTGGGGTCTGTCTGGTGAAGCGCGTGTCAAACTGACTGACATCCTCCTCCGACTGCTACTGAAGGAGACAAATAGAAAAACAGAGGGGTTAATACAGTACAGACACACTGACTGGACACTCCAGTACATTAACACTGCACTGAGAGAGAGGGGTTAATACAGTCCAGACACA